GGTCCTTGCCCTTATTCTTGTTGAATGTCATTCGCTATATAATATTTTCCGACTTAAATCAGTGCTATAAATCATTAGAAGAAATTATTGAAATAATGAAGATTGACATGGGAGAATAAAAGACGAGTGTACCCACTCTTCTAATTCACTGGCATGTAGAGTTAACTTTAATGTCTTATACTGAAAATGTATTATTTGGTAGAGCAGGTGCATTCTTCCATTATCTTAAATAATAATTACGAAAATTGTCCATTCATTATATAGCGTACGTGTAATACTAAAATAAACATTAAGAAAAGTGCCTAAAGCTCCAAGCAATACACGTGGGGGCATTGTGGATCGGTGACACTACAGATTAACTTCTTGATGCCCGCGCGGTCATCTTTGGGCCTTAGGCGCCTAATCGCACCGACACCATTCTGATTATGTGTGATTGTTGTATCAATCATTTCCCCTATCAAATTATTCAGTGGCCGGTAATTGTATCGCTTGTCCGCTCCGTTGTAATGGCGGCGGAAACATGCGGCCGCACTTAGTCTCGGTTTGTTACTCGATGGATTGTAATTCATATGCTATTACTGACGAAATTAGAGAGAAATTGTCTTCGTCATACATTTTGTGATGAGCTACATATGTACGTTGCACTGTAATGGGTGATGGTGTCCTCAGACGTTTGTGATTGTAATTGTGCCTATGAATTCTACAAAACCTGACTCCTACTCAGATGCTCAGAAGTAAGGAAATTCCCTTTTACAAAGAAAGGAAAAACTTTTTATTACAATATATTTTGCGGACACTAGTTCGATACACCAAGTACCAAGTATAGTATAGTTTAATAATTTTACCTGCTAAGTATTTGTAATAATAAGTTTATTGAATATCACTATGTTTTACTACCATGATACCCAATTATTTATTCTGAATTTACTCCACTAGTTTGTTATAATTATTAACACAAAGAACAAACACTAAAACAAAATTCCTACTATCCGGTTGGATTTATCAGTATTTTACAAATCAAATTAAATGTGTGCAATTCATAAGCACATTTTCAATATAAGAAACTTGGCAACATTCTAATAGTTCCGTAGTTTACTCAAACTCTGCTAAAATCACGTTAATATTGCAAGCACCATAAATTGACCCGTTTAGGTATAATAAACTTCTATGAGGCGGCTAGGTTGGCGGGAGATTGTAAATCATTAAACAGCATATTTCCCTTATCGCGGCGAGCCTTTAACCGCCTCCATTAACTATGCAAATCCGATGAATTTACGTGGATCGCTAAACGTTGACACAGTACAATGAGGTAACAGTAAGATACTTGATCGTAGACGAAGATAGATTGCAAATGTAAGGGTGTAGAGATTGGTAGTAAGTAAGTCAACTCTACATTTCAAAGCCGTTTTTTATTTTGATTAAATATCGTCAAGAGCACAAGTAAGAGGTGTAGAGTTGAATGTGTCAACCTTGACGTGTTCTTGGTCATGTACGAGTAAGCACTATACTGTAGTTAGGTATTGCAACTGTCACTTTTTAATTTCAAAATGTAACACCTGTAAAAACGACGTAAGGATTTACTATGGGGCCTAGCATCAGTAGAGCTATTTGTGAAAGAGTTGGCCCAAGGAAGTACTGCTACCTTAGCATTAACGTGTTCCAGTTATGATGGGCACGGGTATTGATAGAAATTACAGGCATATGGGAAATGCCAGCTTCTGTTTCAGGGTGACGAGTGCAGTGGCAGTGTTCCTCAGATCTTTGTGATTTCAAGCTGAGTTGCACTGCTGTTATTGTTATAGTAGTAAGTTCACAACTTGTTCGTCCCTTCACTTCGTATCATAAAAAAAATTATACGCATCCAATAACTGTGGCCCACCGTACTACAAGAGTTTTTCTGTTCAACACGGAAGTCTCTTTTCAAGAATTCACCACACCATATAACTTTTAATTACCAAAAATAAGCTCGTTCTCAATAACAAGACTTATTAAATCACTCCCCTTGTTCTTCATTACAGTCGAAAAAACGCGCTATAATTCATTGATAAACAGTGTTAATTAGAAACTAGTGCGAGACAGGTACAAGGGACTCGAATTAGCCGGGCAGAGAAATGGTTAGGTAGATGTAATTATACAGTTGTCTAATTTAATTGGCAATCGGTAGGTTCCCAGGGGGAGTAGAGAGTCGCCCCCAGTCGAATTTTCCCAGCTATTAGAGCTTGGTAATTGCAGGTGTGTGCTATAAGCGGCTCAATCACGCCACCAACGTGCAGCTGTACTTATACTATTGACTCGTGGTTTTAAAAATGACTTATTGGTTGTGAAATTTGTTATTCGCGTAGATTGATAAAGTAGATGTTATCTATTATCATATATGGAAAGCGATAGCAGATATCTTTTGTTTTATTGTTTAAAATGCAAATTTGCTGTCATCGTCAACATTATCAACCCAATTATGCGTCCCACAGCTGAGCGCTTTAGGCCATAGTCCGGTACGCTGGCCCAACCTTACACGTTTTCCGAGGATTGCGAAATTGGCAAACCTTCTTCAACGTGCAGGTATCATCATGATGGTTTCCTTCACTGCAAATAATAGTAAATACAGTTTCGATCGTTCGTCTGGTGGTAAGCGCTAAGGCTACTCATAACAGTTGCAGGGCCGTTCAAAGCTTTATATTGCGAAGATCTGAGGGCCACTGCCAATGCGCCAGTTACCCTGAGACATAAAGTTAACAAGTCTTATGTGCCTGTAATATCACCAGAGGTATTCAAAGCCGGAACGTAGTAATGCTCCCATAGAAATAGGTATGGATTTGATGGGTAAGTATTAGAGACTTTCGTATTCCATGAATAGGATGATGAATTTTCTTAATATATTCAATTGGAATTTGAATTTGGAAGGAAATTGTAGAAAACTTTCATTAATATCGCATTTGAAGCCATTATGATGACGATATGGGCTCCGTTGACGACGTCTAATTACAATGATTATGTTCTAAGTCGGGCATACTGGCCGGTAATTGAAAAACTTTTTCATCGATAGTCGGCAAACATTCGAAAATTACGCTCTCTCCCACATTTCGTCAGTCGACTGATTTCTATCGAGTTTGTTTAGCGGTTATTACGATTTCAACTTTTAATAATGAGTCGGTCGTGCCCTGTTTTCACATAATAACTCGCTGAAACTGTAATTTAAAACTTACAAAGTTTTTACTTGTATTTTTATTATTCGTAGAACCTAATTTCTTAGTTACTTTTCTACGTAACTGTTGTTTGAAATTAACCTCTAGTAGTAATTTACATACAGATAATGCTTCAATTACTTATACATTATAAATAATTCTATGACGTGTGTCTATATTTTAATAACCTTGACCACCGCCAAGAGTTACTGTTACATGCATAACAAAATAATTTGAAAGCATCAAACATAAAATTCGACCAAAGATTAGGAGCAAAAAGAATAGCCATTAAGCCAATACCAATAGCAATCAAGCACTTGAGTCGAGCGCGTTTTAACTTTTTGAAAGTGCAACACTTTCCCAGCGCAGGAGTGCCCTTGCGCGCGTTTAGACAAATGAACAGCGTTGCACCCTCCATGGCACACGCCATTCTACGTGGATATAGAGATATGGAATAACTGGGCGTACTTGAACTTTTATATAATTTTGGAGCATATCTGTTAAGTTACAGATAAATATTAACTGCCTCTGTGGCCGAAAGGCTGTGGCAGCCCGGTACGGTAACCTGCGGGTGCCACGCGTAGGTCCCGGGTTCGATTCCCAGGCCGGGAGAAATATTTGTATGTCCTACATTTACCTCTCTGGTTATAAATGGATAACTAAATATAATGTGTAAATAAAAACACATATTTGTGCAAATAAAAAACACACATTCGCAATAATGTCCATTCAAATTGTTTTTTCTCAATTCCACCAAATTTTGTTTTACGACAGTACTTATTTGGTTTCAAGTACTATATTGCGATTAATTTTCAGACTGCAGTTCAGTTGAATTTTATATTGCTATGTCGGGTGGGTGGGTGTCTTGGGTGTCATCAATGAAATAATTAATTTTAATATATTTTAACGTTCATTTGAGAAGATTAATAAGTCTCTCACAGGAGTCGCTTACGGTGATAGAAATCGAAAAAACTCGATACAAAAGGTCTGTGATATACAGAGAGAAATTCGTAAAGTCTGCTTACTTGATCAGTTGCACAGTTAGTAGAGCGGAGGCCCTAGTTTGTCATGACGCCGATTCGAGTCCTCTCAGATCGAAGGATTTTTTCTGTGTGTTCGATCTTTGAATAAATCATTATAACAGATTCGAATTAGCTCAAAAATAATTCGCACACTGTTGCTGTGCTGTTGCTCCGACTACCGAAACAACAAGAAACATTATTGGTCACTTTATTTAATGTGCACCCGAGTGTTGGTTTTGTTTATTTATTTAATGTTCCTTTAGTCAATTGTGTATTATTATAAATTTACTCCTTACGTCTAAGAGACAAAATTATCTCGAGAATTTATACAAGGTAACGTGCGTATCTAGCAAAACCTACCTCTACATAATAACAACCACAAGGCCTGCCGCAAAATGGCGGAACTAGTAGACACAATAAATCAATTGGAGTGGGTGGTTGACTTTTCACTCGAATGTGTGGTTAATTGTAACCGAAATGACTGTTGATCGAGCCGCACTTAATTTGAGTGGTGCTTATACTCGGCAGGGGTCGTTTTATAGGGTGGCATATAAACGTAATGGTACGCTGTTTTCGTGATTACTTTGATATTTGTTCTAATTTCTCTAACGGAACTGGTGAGGTTATAAGCCCTATTTTATTGCCAATTCGAAATTGTACGTGGGAATGAGTATAATATATAGGTTTAATTTTTCAATTAGGAATACATACAATAAAGCTTATGAGTGCGGATTTATAGTATCCATGGAGTTTACAAACACTTATACTGAGAAAAAATATCTATAAAAAATATATATAAAATATTTTTTTATAAGTCAAGGTATATACCCAGTGACGTATATTTTCAGTAAAAGAAATTCGAAACAAATGGTGCATATTATTATATAAGTTAAAGAGCCAATGAGACGATACATCCTAACAAGCGACTTCTAAAAATCAAACTAGAGCTATATACTTAGTTTCTAAGCCCTAACTTTTATAAAATAAACAAATGTCATTATAAATAACCACGTGTGTCTTCATTACATTTATTCTTCAATCCAGTAGTCCTTGACGATCTGAGCGAGGCGTTCATCAAGCTTGGCGCCCGGTGCTTGCGGCTGCTTGCCCAGCAGGAAGACGAAGTTCTCGTGACAGTCCATCATGGCCAAGTGTTCAGATACACTTTTCAGACGCATCGGATATCGATGGAAGATGCTTGGTTCTAGTTTAGCTGGAAAATGATAATACGAATGCGAGATATACAACTTCCTTGCATTATGACTCGATTATTAGGTTGAGTAAAGCCATGCTTTGGTGACTTGCCATAAGTGTAGAGATCTTATCGCTGAATAGTTATTCCTTCTAGGTAACCTTGGCATTAAGACGAACCTCTAATAGACTAGAAGTAAAAGTGACGGTCGTACTGTTTATTTATTGCGTCGGATTTCTATTATGTTGAAGAATTAGACACTGATTTGCATCGTCAACTTTTCAGCCGTTAGACGAATACCGTTGACCCTGACATAGGTGTAACCTAGCCTTAGTGAAATGAGAATGTAGAACGCTTGGTCCACAAGATTTATTGTAAGGGATGATAAAAGAGGAAAAGGGCCTATATAACTATGTAATTTTAAAAAGTTTATGGGCACGTCATCTTGTTTAAAGAATTTTGATGATAGTCACGGCGGGTAGAACCAACGTAAGAATAGTGAAGGAAATGCGAATTCCAGAACGATTCAAAATTTCAAAACTAAGTAGCCAGGAACCAGAAGACAGTATGAGGAAAAGGCGCGATGACGATAAAGGAGGTCAGTATCGTCACATAGGTCTCCCTCAAAGATTGCCACAACGACCGGCCTTCCGCTGCTTGCAACCATCGCCAGATCATCGGTCCACACTGCCCATGTTGCGTTTATCGGTACGCTGTTGCCAGTCGAAAACTTACTATATTGAGAAGTTTGTGAAAACTATATTAGCTACGTTCATACCAGTGGGTGAAGGCATATCCAAAGTTTTGTAAAATCCAACTCCGTCCTGTTTCTCGAGATAGTACAAGTGAGCTCTGTCTTGGGTGTTATTTGTGCATGGTATCTGCATCTTAAGTGTCACAGCATGCCACTTCATATCCGGAATGTATTTGCCGACGTTACTTTCCAGGTGTTTTTGCTCCTAGAATTAAGTGGCAATGGAAACAGACAATAATTTAATAATAATATATAATAATATAATATATAGATTGTACAAGAAGTGCATAAAAAGCGTCTTTGTACCCGAGACGAGTATATGGATACTTAAGTCAAGAGGAAAATGGGTTTTATGAACGAGTTATACGCTTACTCTTTTCACTTCGATTGCGAGGAAATTAAACAGCAATATTACAAATAAACGATTATTCCGAGAAAGTATTCACTTGTTTTTCGACCCTCCAACGCATGAAATTTTCATACATGTTAAGATAAAGTTGCTTAGATTTCGGCGGCAATATCTGCTCAATGACGTTTTTCGCATTCCTTTCCATTAAAGACTTGGTGTGAGTGTAATTTTCTCTTCACTTGACGATATTATTCGCGTAAATTGTAGAACAATTTTGAATTGCAACACAACTATTGCCAAGAAAAATAAGAACTTCCCGCCAGTGTTACTACTCTTTTTTTCTACACGTGACTCATAGGTCACGTGTAGAAAACGTGTGCTAGCTTTTATTTTTTATAACTTATTACAATTACTATTGCCTACTTTTTCAATTTTGTAATATAACACGGATTAAAAAAATAAAAGTAAAACTTTATTTTATAAAGTTCTATTGTGCGTGGCTGTTGGCGCAGGCGTCTTTGTCTCGGTCTTAAACGACGATTTTATTTTATGCCCTAGAGCATAAAATCCTATTCTATGCAGCCTACACCCAGCGAACTTTAAGAGCATGAGAAGTGAAAATTATATTTATTAATTATTTATTAATACAAAGATCGAACAGAAAGAAAAATTCATTCCATCTAACTGTATGCCAGTCTAGAGCAACAGCTCTACCTTCTATATCTACCAACTTTACTTTGTTGTTGCTCTTGGAAATCACGGTATTGTAGTTCGTGAGCTTAAGGATAAAAATGAAATACTTAGATTAATTTAAATTGTACTGATTTAAATTTCTACCGAACTATTTGCTGCTAATACGCGGAATTTTCGGATATAAACCACGTGGAATGAAATGTGCTCGAAATTATACTTTTTATAGTTTAGAAGTATAATTAATTATTGAATTTACCTTTTCGTCTACAGCAGAGAACTGCATGCACTTAGCGTCTTTGCTACCTTTACCGATTTCGGGTCCATGAAGGTGCCAAGTGCCGATTGCATCATGCTCTTTGAATTCTGCATTTTTGGAGAAATCGTTGCAGGTAGGTTTCTTCACCTTACCGGCAATGGTGCATGGTAGAGCAAATGCTGCAAATGATAAAAAGGAACTTACCTTATTTTTATTTGTTAAATCTTTTTCTGTCATATCTTTTGAAACAAATTGCGATTTAAATATTTGGTCGTATAAAAGTCATCGGGTTTTTGTTGCAACTAAAAGTACACTATCTATATGTAATTACAGTGGCAAATGCGTTGCAGTCGCAGGTATACATAGTCAAAGTCAAAGTCAAATAATGATTTATTCCATAGGTAAATTTTTACACTTGAAAACGTCATTTTTTAAGCTACTGCTTGCTCACTTCGCTGACCTCCCCGAGAAGAACGAGCAAGAAACTCTAGGGATTGCTCTTTTCAAATAAACTTAAATGCTATATAATTTTTTTGAGTCATATCTGTGTGAAATCTAGACTTATGTTTTCTTTCCATACATCTTTATCTAATACGTAGTCTACAATTTTGTAATATGACTTTTTAATAAAATACTTTAAGTAATGTAAGTTTTAAACTTAGGAAATGGTAATCTTAATATATATGTATGCTCCGGAATCTTATTGTAAAAAAGTATAAAAGAATCAAACGATTGTTAGTTAAACGAAATCGTGGCACTATGACTTAGTTCTACAGTTAATATTATGGATATCTTATTTCTTAACGCAATTATTTATATTTTACGGGCATACAAAATATTTGAGTAAATTTACTGTGATACCACAGTCATGATACCAGTCTCCTTAAACTTTTCTCTGAGAAAATCTGAACGCGTACCTTTAGTAGGCACTATCTTTAAAGACAATATCTCTAAAAAGCCAAGGAATATTGGTATATATGATTGTGGCATCTTTACGAGCGAAATGACATAATTAAATTGATGTTCAATGTATTAATACTATTTTGGTAGAAAGTGCTACTTTATAGTATTTATGTTTTAAATTAGTATCAAGTAAAGTTATGCATGAAAGTAAATATATTACGATGACGACATAATAAGATAATTATTAATGTTTTAATATAGGCCTTAAAATATGACGTCTTAGGTCGTAAGTATAGTAGTATAGCACATTTCTCAGTTTAAAAACTATGTTAGAAAGTTGTCGTTTTTAAAAATAAAAGTAAAAAGGAAGTAAATATTCAAATGAAAGCATTGTAAGTACCTAAAGTCAGAAGAATGATCGTCGGCGACATGTCTAGCGCGTTCCTGTTCACACACTGAATTGAGCTGATTGCTCCTTAAGGATAACGTGGCAGTTGAGGACAACATAGTCACAGTGTTGTAGAATAATATAGATGCGGTATCTTGTACATATTTTTATGGATTATGAGTTCACACATTGGTTATAGTACTAGGAAAGGTGCACCTGAAGAAACAAAATTTTTGCCTTGTGTACCTACTAATTAATTTGATTAATCTTCTTCTTCTTATCATATCGATGGTATATACTATACTATTTAACTCTTATCGTATCGATGGCATATACTATACTATTTAATTGTGGCCCAAAATACAACCACGCCGACCGCGTCACTAGCAGCCGTCGCTAAATTCTCACGCAAGCAGGTGGCACGCAGGGCAAGAGATGGTCCATCGCTTAAATCGTATCTCATCTAGATTAGAATTTCAGACAAACCAATTGTCCTAATTCCCGGCAAACCTGAATTCGATTCCTATTTAAAGGTTACCTACAGATGTGACGAATGCGCTGCAAATACGCCTGTGTACGAAAGTTACGTTGTGCGATCTGTTCGTGTGCCGTTCGCACGCCGCTTGCGCACCACATATATTAACATGTATTTAATAGCAGGCATGCAGCACGCGTACAGCGCGCGTGCAGTATGCCAGCAGCGCGTACGCGGCGCCCATGCAGCGCGTACGCGGCGCCCATGCAGCGCGTACGCGGCGCCTTCGCCAGATCTGTAGGTACGCATCCAAAGACTTTCAGATCTTCCATGGTAATTCGTGTCAAGGTTTTTATTTGAACTATTCAGAATTCAAGTGCATTTTATTTTATTATCACAACTACAGTTAATTTATATTCTGTCCTCACATTATAATGTTTATTATAATGCTTAAACTGCCTCCGTGGCCGAACGGTTACCATGCCGGACTGCCACGCGGAGGTTTGATTCCCGGGCCGAGAAATATTTGTACGGCTTACATTTATTTCTCTCGAGAGTTTCGGTGTTATTTGTGGTTGCTTATGTGTGTGTCCATGGCACCCGGACACAGGGTTTCCCTAGTGCGGGGCTATGTTGAGTGTGTACGTTATTTGTATATTATTAAAAAATAAAATGCTTAATCGCCATTAAAGAGCAGAACAAGTTTCCTGTTTTCGATTTTTTTAATTTTTTCAGCCAGGTCATAACAGTAAAACATAATTATAGTAAAATCTCTTTTCTCCAATGAAAAAAAATCAAAGTATTAGTAAGCTGAATTTTGTATTGCATGCAACCTCCTTGCTCGATGAAATGACCGAGAATTATATCAAAATTAGAAATTGCTTTACGGCTTGAGGTTAATGAAGTGATTAAGTTTTAATTAAAACGATACGTTGAAATAAAGAAAATTCAACGCAGATTTACTGCATAACTAGGAATGTTTTATCCGCTTCGTTTCGCAGCTCGGCAGAGTGTGTCAGTTAACAATAATGAAAATAAACGAGTATATCCTGTGTCCTCGCGAATTGACTTCTTTAGTATATTCGGTTGTACACGTCAACGAACAGCGAAATTACGTGTAATTCAATCTCTTTGTCTGGGTCAAGTTAGACAAGGTAAAGAAAAACAAGAACAAAATTTTAAAAGTTTACTAAAAGTATTTCAGTTACTTACGTTGTTAGCTTATTTAAGTGTAGGGTTTTGAAAACCAATAAATTATATATATATATATATATATATATAATATATATTGAATCTTATTTTATTTGGCTATGGTTTAAAATGTAAATATTTTCCTTTTTTCCGACACACATGTCTTTCATGTATTATAAATATATTACCGATGACCTGGTAAAAGTTGCAAGAATCCTTTGGATGCGAGAAGTTCATGACCGACAGTCAAGTCGTGCGCCTTGTGGTAAGCGACACTCCTGTCATTAACAATTGCAGTGCCACTCAGAGTTTTAAATCGCAAATATCTGAGGGGCCACTGCTCCCGTCGCCCTGAGACATAAGTTGACAAGTCCCAGGTGCCCGTAATTTCACTAGCATCCTTGCCCTTCAAAACCAGAACACAGTAATGCTCACATTACTGCTTGTTGGACTTCCCTGGACAAACTCTTTCACAACGAGCTCTACTGCTGCTAAGCTGTGGGTAAAACGAAGCGAAGTGGGTCGTAGATATCTTTATATAAAAATCCTTATACTTATCTACAGAAATTATCTTATCTAGAGAAGTAGGTAAATATCTTCTGTTTTATTTGGTACAAGTTAGTATCTACACATTTTCCTACTCATGTACACCCGTATTCACTGTTCCCATACATCAATAAAAATTTATAGACATATTACTTATATCAGTTCCAGGAAATGATGAAGAACAAACTGGATAAATACATTGCTTAACTTGATACTTATGACTGTTAATTTACAGTGAGTTTTGTTCATTCGTAAATTACTTTTTAAAGGCATCCTATTTCCTGTATTTCAATAAGATTTAAAAAAGTTTTCTTTGTTCTACAAAAGCCGTTTTACTAAGAAAATATCACATAACACCGTTGAACCGCAGTCTTCAAAACCCTTCTGTGTGGTTACAGGTTGCACGAAAAACAAGGAACGCGTATCTTTTGTCTTTTACTCATCGAATTTGTGCGATTTTTTGCACTGTTATTGAATGCAATATTATTCCCTTAGCTAAAGACTTTAAGAGCTAATTTGAAGTAAAGCTTAATGTAAAAAACACAGGTTGTGGTTAAGGCGCACGAGACTCCTTCAATCCACTTTCTTTGTTCTCAAGCTGAATCGGCACCTGTCGCACTTTGATATCCAAAGACTTATTTCCTTTCGATTTTCGGACGATCCAACTAAAATATATTTTAACTCCGCATTGAAAAAGTTAATTATTTCGACTTCGTCGTTTTCTCATTCACTTTTTGTCCGCTAATTCGAAAGAACGTTAAGGGTGTAATTACAATGTTAATTTAGAATTTAATTACGGATATATGTATAAGGACATTTGCCTACGTTTTGAAAACAATTACGATTTTCACAACCAATGTAACATTTAATTTTACATTTTGCATATCCATTTATGAGGAACGGTATTTCCTGTGGAACACTAAATCAGTGAAAGAACATTTGCTTGTACTGTGTGTAAATGATTCGACTTAAAGACTTAATCTTAAGAATTAGTTACAGTCATTATATGCTATATAGATTGTGCTGCAATCTTCTTTAGTCACAGAGCACAACATGAATGAGCAATTTTCAGTCAACGTTCTATTGTTAAATTCATTACGACACAATCACTGATTTATAGCCAACACGTAAGAAAGTACAACCTATTGTACTCTTAGATATTACACCGATTAATTGTATAATACGTATCTCCAGAGAGTGTTTGCAATTGAATATCTTTTCATGAAATTTGACTCATGAGACTTGACACTCTGGCCTGAATGGGGAAACTGAAAATGCTGCTGTAATACGTTTTCCCATTCATCATTTTCTTTAACATTTTGTGCACGGGTGTAATAAAAAGGCGCGACAGTGTTTCAGGTAGTAAATACAGTCAAGTTAAAAAGCTAGTCAAGCTAGACACTTTTGGCCGTTCTTGTTCTAAGCGGCGTTGAATTATAATCTGAAATGTCAAACTTAACGTGCTCTTGAATCTTGATTAAAACAAGTTTAATAAAAAGGATATTCGTAATAAAACAATTTGGTTACCTTTTAAAATGAGTGTGGCCAATCACAAATTTGTATATTTTCGCCAATCATTATACTTTTGTGCAGAAGTGCTTTTTTATCATTGGTGTAATCACCAACTGCAATGTAGTTAATACTTTTTATTAAATGTAGAATATTTTTAATATATGTATAATAATATATTGCTTTAAGGTAAAGTTTAAGGGCTTTCCAGGTACTGTCTGGAAATTCATCAGTACAATGTACTTACCTGATATTGGTGTCTCTAGTTTATGAGTTGGCAAGCATCGTATCACCAGATTAGATACGCCGGTATCACGCACACGACTCACGCCCACTGCGCTCAAGAACATGGAAATTGCCTCGCCATTTGTACAAAAACTTGCAAGATTGAACACAATTGAACTTATATCGCTTAGTCAAATAATATAAGCATTTTACTACTAACGAACCTATCCTTCCAATATCATTTTAAGCTTTTGTTTTTGATGACACTTTAGGTTTGTATACCTAGCAGTATCAAATTAGAAATTAACAGAAATATATCTCTAGCTCAAAACAACATTTCGGATTTGTGACCGTCGTTTTTTCAAATTTCCCTGCATTGCAATAGCACCTGCCTTGAATTAGCAAGAAAGAAATATGTATTATTGTTCACTATTAGCGATCAAAAATGAGTTGAGCCGTTTGATTCCAGTCTTTGTTCTTGGAGAGTTCCCGTCGTGTAGTGGTAACACCTATTAATGATGTTATGGTATTAATTACTGGGGGGAGAGTTAATGTAATCAAAGCTCGATGCATCACGCGCTATCTGGTGGGTTTGATTAATAAGTATAATGAGCGGCGGTGCCAAACGAGTTAATTAACCGTTCGTTTTTTACCGGAGCGGTGGCGGCCGGTAAACGGGCGCATCAATCACTGCTTTGTGCTTGCCGCCGAATTTCTTAATGATTGAAATGACGGCTCAGCCCTTGAACGATATACTGCGCTTTGAGTAGTTGTGGCGAGTGCATGAGGGAGAGTTCTATAAATTATTATATTAACACAGGGTCCAAAGTTGATTCAACAACCTAAGGATGAAATCAGTGTCTGTAGTAGAAATAGCGTCACTGTTCAGATGATGGAATCCCAAAAATATTATTCGATTTCATTTAAATTTATTAAAACAGAAATCATAATTTCCTGTGCCATTATATTACAAACCGACTTTTAGTTTAAAAAAAAAACTAACAGGCAAGGAGAATTCGAAATGTTCTCACAATTATTGGCTATCGACCCGTCGACACGGTTATCGATCAAAATAATTTCTAGATTACATATTTTTTGCGAAGCCTACATACAGCGGTGGGTTATTTATTAC